AAGTACATGTATAGTATCAATAAATTATAGAAGTCCCTAGTTTCAAGTCGAATCCCTTTTATAATCTAAATCCATTGTTTTAAGTCGTGTCCTTTTAGCAATGGGAGTCCAAGTACGTATCCTATGAGTACGTATACTCAAACCAGGAGTTCCATTAATAGGTAAGAATGTGACTTCAGCTGACTGAGGGAGATTATCAAGCACCCCTTCCTCTGATGACTCAGAGTCAGAACGGCAGGGAGAATCACGGGAGCGACCTCTTCTGTAAGGTTTGACCTCGATCCACCCAGAGTCACCTTCACCAGTGTCGTACACTACACCAGGGACCCCTTTTCTACTTTCAAATATAACAGAATCGCAATTGCATAAGTCCAGACTGTCCTCACAAGTATTGGTGGAAGAAGATTTAGGCGGCCTTGAACTAGTTGAGTCACGAGGGTTAGATTTAGCTCGAGAATTAGATTGCCGTTGTCCACTGTTACAACTAGTACTGTCATTGCCTTTAGTCACTCTATTAGTAGCTTTATTAGATTTGTTCTTGTAGTTGGCCTACATTGCACTCTTAAATGGGTTTTGTTTCTTCTGATAAGCAGTACAATAGCTGCTGGAGTCAACTAGTCTTTATACAGGCAATCATTATCAGAAGATCTTGCAAGCTATGTTAGCTTTTAAAAAGAAGATTTATCAATTTGGGCGCTCGATCACATGTGCTTATGTAAACTATGACGTAGATAAACTGTCATAAAACGTCATTTTGGTATGCCATTGGGTTTATAGGGAGGACCCGGTTCTCAGGGTTCCCAAGGGCTGAGAGACCCAAGACCTGAGATCCTGTGATGGCATTGGGCGACTAAGAACCTGTGAAAGTTTTGTCTTTATGCCACGCTCCTATAAAAAGTTATTCCAGTTTTTCTTGGGTCAAACTCAGTTGGGATATTCATATCTTTCCTGTGAATGATTTTGCCGATTTATAATGATATTCATTGGGATACCGTAAATGGAAAAATTTTCAGGCCGCCATTGTGGAGGTATACTATCATTAGTTACAATGGACCGACAGGCTAAAAACTGTCAATTCTACTTCTCCACGTCACTCCAGTGGCTCTAAACAGTTGCAGACTACTGAAAAGAAAGATAAAGGTTGCAATTTTTTTAACTTTTGAGACTATAACTGCTTGCTCTTCTTACAAAACGGCAGAAAGTGTATCGAGCTCCATTGGAAACAGTGCAGCAATACCTCCACAATGGCGGCCTGTAAAATTTTCTATTTACGGTATCCAAATGAATATCATTATAAATTGGAAACGTCATTCACAGGAAAGATATGAATAGTATAGTATTACTGAGGGCATACAACTGATGAACCACATTAACCTACACATCATGTACTTATACATGTACATTTGTAGCACTGTATGTTAAACCAATATCTATGGTTAAACAATTGACTGACCTTAATCAGTTTCTGTGCTAAGTGAGGGTGTCTCTCTATTATCTCCCTGTCATGTGACATTACATGATGTTATCATTATGATGAGATGCATATAATTATTCATGTATAGTTTTGCTTACCTAACTGTAGGCGGGCAACTAAGAATGTGTCTGTAGTGCTATAGTTGATTTAGTTCATAATGACTGTTTGTATAGTTCTTTACTACCATTGTCATTGTAGCTCTTATGACTAAATTTGGTTATTTCACAGAAATGCTATCTTTTTCCCTCTCTTTATGCATAATAGTAGTACTGAATTTTGGAGGGCCCAGGGTAATTTTTTTTAATTTAGTATTTTTGATAGCTACATTGTATATTAGTTGCCATAAAACCCACCGTTTTGAACCATTATGCACTTAATCAATAGCACAGGGTTAGTCAGGGGGGCCTGACAGGCCCACCTGACTAGCACAGGGTCACAAATTCACCAAACCATGCACCAATCAATCAATTCAAAGCTCGAAAATTATCAGCTGAGTGTAAAAGGCAAACTCCACAATTTCACCTGGTGTACCAATTCCTTACTGATTAAAATAACTTCCCCATTTAATAATAATAATAGATCTATTTATATGTCTCACATACAAGCTCAGTAAAGGCTCAAATGCAACTTTTCTTCCTCTTGTCTTTCACAAAATTAATTTTGTATTGTTAACATTACTGCACAAGTACAACACTATATATACTGCAGCATTTCATGATACAATATCAATCACAATATTTTAGATTCAATGACATAATATGTGAAAAATTAGAGCCCAATAAATTAAAATCACTATTGTTCAGAATGCATGAGCTTTTTATGGACTTTTATGAACTGTTGGTCAAACACAATTGGGCATCCTAACTCTGTTCACACGTCAATCGACTCAGTCCTCCTGTCTGTGTTTTAGTGGAAACATAATTCATAATCATGCAGTTTATGTAATGAACAATGATTAAAATGCGTGTGCATTGCTTAGTAGAGTTTGGAGGTATCACACATCCACTAGGAAAGATCATTATAATTTTTATTACTGGTACTAAAATCTGAGATTTTAACTCTTGGTAGACTTTATAGGAGTACTAATAACTAAAACTAAAATTTAAAACATAATACAACAGAAACAATTCACAAATAATTAAATATTTTTGATCACAAAACACTTAATAATTAATTCAATCAACAGCCTTTGGTTTGTACTTCTCAATTTTGTGATACAACCCTCAGTAATATTAACATGCCATGAGAGTGAAAAGCTTCAGCAAGAAAGTCTTGAAACTCCTTTAGTGTAATATCCAAATTCCAAACAACTTTTAAAATTATCTAAAAATAATTAAGGCATTCTTCCTAAACTATTCAAATGTAGACTTACTTCCCCACAGTATCCCCTTTTATAGTCTTCAATGGCCTGTTTTGCAAAATCTTGAGCTAAAATTTGCCTGTAAAACTCATCAATTTCGTCAGAAAAAACCAAGAGTGTGTGGTTACAAACCAAATTATGTTTCTTGACAAAAGACCTTATAGGTCTAAAATTGTAAAGAAAGAAATATTTTCGAAGTAAAGGTAATAGATCAAGAGGGTTGCACACATTTGTGATTTCAGATTTCCTTTCTCCAGAGAGATTGGATCTTGCCAATAAAAACCCTTTGAAATCATCCAGTAAATTTCCTTTAATAACTTCTTGAGCAAAATCATTCAAAATGATAGAAAATTTGTCATTCATGTCTGAATATTCATTTTTCAATTTTGAAGGCACAAAATGCGCTATTAATAAATAATATAATCATGACACATATAACACCAATTATGAACTTTCTTACCACTAGTGTGCATGTCAGCAGATGAACTTGGAGGGAATACTATAAGAACAACACTATGCTGAATTACAGCATGATTTTAATGGAGGAATATACATCATTCATATAAACTCTTTGTTTTGATTTCAAAGTGGCAAACAACAATTTGTAATAAATTTCCATTTAAGAAATAGAGTATATTATCCATTAAATATCATACATACATGTACATGCAGAACAGATTTTCTAGTAATTAATGCACGATGTCAAAAAAGGCTCTTATACTGTACCTAATGACGAAGGTGAGACTGCGTGAATGGTGACTGGCAATTAAGTTACCATAACATCAATCAAATTAAAGTGGCTTTTATTCACTGATAAAAAAGCTTAAACAAACTTTAGTAGGTTATAACCTTTAATTTAAGGCCTTTTCATACTGGCACAGTTTTTAAAGCACTTGCACTTTGTCCATATAGCCATACAACAGCCGTACAACACTGTTGCAACAATCGTGGAGATAGAAATTAGGTCTATCTCTACAACAGTTGTATGCTAACCACAGAATCCATACAAGAGCCACAACTATATGGAAACCAGGCCTTAATTTGAAACCAATCTGGTGTGAACATGATTAATGTGCATCAATGCGCATTACTTTTGCCAGTGTGAAAAGGCCTTTATTCATGCCCTTGCAGCAATACTTTCTACATCACTATAGCTACAATGAGGTAGGCTGATAATCCATACTTGCTATTGCTAACCTTGATTCCTGATAGTGTCAACTAATTCATTTTCACCCAATGCTGTCAATATATCCATTAGTCTCAGCCATGTCGGCTTTCCTTCCTCATGGACTCCATCACTTCCCTTTAACCAATAAGACACACATTGTTGGAAACATCTTTTCACATCTTTAGGATAATCGGCTTCAATGGCTAACAATGTTGGCTGATAAAGGCCAGCCTCCAAACCAAAGTCAAACCATCGTTTTTTTGACAAATTATTTAACTTGTTTAAAATAGATTTTAAATCGGTAATATCCAACCTAACGTTACTATCTAGAAGATAAATATGTTACATACCAGACTCGAAGCTATCAAACAGACTTACTTAGCTGCTTGTTAGCCATTCTGAGGGCCTGAGCCCAGTATCCAGGGCCTCCAGGCTAAGCTGAGCCTTAGCGGCTAGTCTCGTAGTAGTCCTGCGCAGCTCAGCATACAGCGGCTCCACCGCTCTCCCGTCACAAAAATTAATAGACCACGACCCAAAATCAGACTATCAAAATCAATGATTCAACCCTAAGTGACTATTTTGATACAGCCCTGACTGACATCAATGTTGACTCATGTCCGTTGCTCTGGCTGAACCAGGACCGTACTCCAGTCTCCAGCATGGCTCAGTAATCATCATGGACAGGGTTGTATTATACTACACTGATTGCAAGCTGCCCAAAATCCATCAAGCTGGGTCATAATTGAAATCATTCATGATTCAGATAGGGTCTAATTAACATTCTTGGCTGTGTATATTGTATTGGGACTGATACTTAGTAACTACCTGTCCTGATTATAGAGGTGTCCTAACTTAGCTACGGCTCTATAAATCCTTGATATGTAATTACCTAAATTACTTTGAGCCATGTTGGTCAGCCAAAATGGTATTTTTATACATGCATGATACCATTACATCTACATCCATATAGATCTACACTGTAATAAAAATGAAAGGTATTTTATTGTTTATTCTTTAAAGTTACTTGAAGCTAGTAATATATCAACATCATCAAGTGATAATACTTCAGGTATAGCATCTGGAGAACTCTGTCAAATAAATAATAATAATAATAATAAAAACAATACACCGGTAAATATCTCCTTGATAATCCCCTCTCTCTATAATCTTTTCTACTTCATGTCTTTTTCTTATGTACATGTACTATATCCTTCTTTGCTTCCCTTCACCTCTCTCCCCCTCTCTCATAGTATGTACTTTTATTATTTTCTCAAATAAAGTGTCTCCAATCATAACTTGTACCAATTCTCTAACTGATATCAGCTCATTCATTAGTGCCTGTAAAGATAACACAGCTAGAGTAAATATTTTGGACAATTACACGTAACTCCTTCACTCATAGATGTAGGTGTATAACTCAAGAATTTGTATTCAAATTACATGTATAATTACATGTAATTGTAACTCAAGAATTAGTAATTATGTAGCCAAGGGCATTGATGCACATGTGCATGTACATGCATTACTCTATATTACTACCTGTAGAGCAGCACAGCTTTGTCTCTGACTGTTAGAGTAGCTAGTATTACTGAGGGCATACAACAACTGATGGACCACATTAACCTACAGATCATGATCATTAATATATTGCATGCATTAAGTTAATATAATACATAGGAAAGAATATAATGAGAAAGGAGAGAGAGAGAAAAGAGAGGTGTAAATAATTATTTAGGAAAGAAGTTAAAATGACTTAAAGATTATAAAAATAAGAGAAAAAGATGAAAGAAGGAGAAAGATAAAGAAGCAAGAGAGAGAGGGAGGAAGAGGAGGCCCACCTATTGCTACAATAGTGAAATTGAAATATACTCTGATCCCATCACTCCCATAACCATGACAACTGAAAGTATGAGTATGCCTCAGGTCAGTGAGAGGTTCCAGTACAATCCTCAGCTCCTCATTCTCATACTGCCCATCAGGAATGAAAATGAGATCCTCACCCTCCATAGGTCCAACTGTAGCACCAACAGTCGTTATATTAGTACCAGATAATGGACATGGTACTATCAGATTCCTACCAACAAACTCCAAAATGAAATGATGACGTACTACGAATTGGGAGAGAGAGAGAGAGGAAGAGTAATACACAATATTTGATAATAATTGTTAATGGATTAGTCTATACCAACAATCACAAACACCTCTACACAGCAGTGCAGTAAGACACAACAATACCACATATCATTTGCATGTACATGTACACGTACACAACACATAATACTCATTCATTTATACACTAACATGTCATGTCATGCACAATATGTACTGTATGTACTATGTACATTAATCTACATGTATGTACATGCAAATGTAAGCATAAACTGGGGAAATTTATGACACATGGAATAACAATAACTATTAATCTAATAATGTACTACAAGTACAGTGTACCTTCATATCTATTATGTACAGGTAGTTCATCAATGAGTAATGACTCAAATCCACAGTAGTACTCTCCCCTGTATTGGCCCAAGTCTCCTACAGTGTCCGTGAACTGAAGTTGTGTATAATAAGTTGGATATGGTCCATCTATCAGATTAGTCTCAATTATAATGTCAGTACTAGTATTAGCAGGAGGAATAGGTTGATCTTCTCTGTACCAGATAACATTACCATAGGAACCGGTAAATATACAAGTTAATGTTAACGGAGGCTGAGAGGTAGTGTGGTGAGTAGCTATTGATGGAGGGACTGAGAGAGAGAGAGAGAGGGTATTGAAAAAGAAACAGAATAAGAAGAAAAAAGGGTCAAAAAGCAAAATAAATGTAATAATGTACTGTACATGTCTAAGTTGTACAATATTGCCCATCAAATCCTAGCACATGTACATGTACATACATACAGAGGTAAACACTGCTTGTCATATGATACATGTACATGTATGTCCTACCTGTTGTTCCTTGTCTTAATATCCATACACTCAATATTGAACTGTTTCCTCCATCAGCCTCCATTATACAAGAATATCGTCCAGTGAATCTACTCAATTCATCACCAGTGAGGTTTATGAACAATGATATGTAAGAGAAAATCGATGAGCTGCCTCTTTTGGTAATAGTAATCTCATCAGTGGATTCTGATAGCTGCGTTTCGTCATGTAGTATCCAAGACGAGGAGTTAGGATATTTCAGGATATTCCCGTGACATGCAAGAGTCCCGATTTCACCAGTTGAGTCATTGATTTCAATTATACTGTTGTTAATTAATGGGTGGAGATTATACGTCAATCCATAACCTGTTAAATATGATACACGTACAGTATATACTGCAGTAGCATTCAGTGAAATATCAGTATATAAACAATAATAGAATTTCACTAATGTACATGTACTTGTGTACATTAAACTTATGATTCCTCAATTTCACTGCTTAATTTCCTCTCCCCCTCTCTCTCCCCCTCCCTCCCTCTCCCTCCCTCTATCCCTCCCTCCCTCTCCTCCTCACCAGTAATATTCCCAAAGTACTTGGTTCCGGTCCCAATGGTTACATTGTTATTATTATTAGATACTATTTTACAGTGGACAGTGTCCCAACAGAATGAAGGGGTTGATAGAACTGGTACATCAAGTACTGATGATAGACCACTGGATATTAACTGATCCATTCCCATACTTTCATTACTGGTACCAGAACAGCCTCTGTACCTAAAATAATAATAATAATAATAATAATAATAATAATAATAATAATAATAATAATAATAATAATTTGGTATATTCAGTATTCATTATCATTGTTATTATTTACCACTCATGGAGTACTGGTTCTTGACGAACTTCATTGAGTGTACATTTGAATCTGATCCAAGTACCAGCTGGATAGGTTGGACCAGGAGGATCTGTCACTATGGTAACATTAGCACCATCTGAAGCACAGTAAGAAACTAAAAATAAAAAATAGAAAAAATTAATAACTAAAACAATAACTTCAACATACAGTAATTTATAATAATACAATAATAATTTTACATACATGTACATGTACATATACTTACCAGTGAAGCAGTAAATGGAGAGGACACTGATCAATAGGTTCAAAGGAGACATTAGGAGGGAGAGAGAGATACAGTTACAAGACTGGAGGTGTGTGTAACCTTATAGTTATTATAAAGGAGTCTTTATCCTTTTGTGTGTGTATAAGTAATGTACTGGGTCTTTTGTCTAGTTATTAATAATAATATTTAGTATTGTTTTGACTTCACCAACCAATTAGTGATACTTGCAACAGTAGATGATAGTGAAAACATACTGTATTGTATATGTATACTGTACAAAAGTATTGTACAGTATAGGCAAGCATAATTTGGAGCATAATAGGACAAGTTATTATGCTGGCATAATGGGTCAAAATTTCTGGCTCACTACATGATTTTGATTCAATATGGCAGGTGGTACAAGTACAACAACCTAACTACCTAGTACAAGTACAAGAAAATAGAATAACTACCTAGACTATTCTATTTTCCAGTGACTCACAATCACTGGAAACATTTTCAGATTTTGGCATTATTACAATTATAACAGATGCATGACCATGTAACTTGATAGTTGATATTTGAGTAAAGCTTCAATTATGAACATAATTGGATTGATTTCAAAGGATAATGGGACGGAATTTGGGGGTGCCCACAGCAAAACAGGCAAAAATTGAAGCACAATTTGCCTAGCCCATATATATTAAACCCATTTACTTTATTAGCTATGCCTAGTTCTACTGTTCAACACCCACTCAAATAATTCGTGGAATAATTAAACTTGACAGAAAAACTTTGGTATGATGTTCAGTAGGATTCATCAATAATGACTTAAAATTACTTTCAATACGGTGTACATTTTATAGTATGTCAGATAGAATAAAAATTAAAGTATTATAAGGCAGCTAGTGTTCAGGTTCAAAAGTTAATTTCAACAAGGGGTTACCTCCCAAAAGTAGTTCCCATTTCACCTTTAACTGGTCAGCAACATAGCGAAGCCTACCACGATGATGATGAGACTCAATGTACATGTAAGCATTTTCGATTACTTTAAGAAATAAATTGCAAAATTTCTTGACTTCAGCGTAACTTTCACAATTCCAAAGTGTATTGCGATACATTTTAAAGATGCCATGTTGATAAAACTGTACTTTATCCGTAAATTCTTCATATTCAACATTAGTAGAAATGAAATTCTTGAAGTAATAAATGAAATGATCAGGATGCACAATATCTTCTAACTCATCAAATAAGGATTGATGTGGACCAAATATAAGGTGTTCTTTTATATTTACTAAACTATGTTTTCTTCCTTCAATAATCTGAGTGTCAGAGAGAGGATCTACATTGTACAGTACACAATTATAAAAATAGCATTATCGTACGTACATGCACATGTACCTAAACTTTCAATAGCAGCTGTTTCTGTTCTTCTAAACAGCCCTTGTTCTAATAATAATATACAGTAATAACAAAAATAACATTGTACTACATATACATGTATGTTTAAAGCACATACATGTATATATATATACCAATGGCATGTACCCGATACATACCATTGGTAATGATACGTAAAATCACATGCATGACTACCTGAAACAGTCAATCCACTTAACTTGCCAGCAACACCTTCTGGAGTAACTATGGATAACCATCAATACAATTATATTCATTAATATTGTACTTACCATTTGTTTTACTCTTTACTGAAAACATTACATTGCCATCAATAATTAATTCTACAACTTTTTTGGATTTTAGCATTTTTTTATTTTTAGTCACATATTCCTTCATCTCTTCAACCAGCCATTTAGGTATAGTACACACAAAGGCAAACAGACTTTGCTGTACAACCCTCAGTGATATTAATATACCTTGACTGTGAAAAGCATCAGCAAGAAATTTTTGAAACTTTTCTAGTGCAGTATCCAAATCCCAAACAACTTTAAATATCATCTAAAAAGATAATTGTAGCATTTTTCTACTTCAAACCATTACAATGTATCTTTACTTCTCCATGATAGTCCTTTCTTTCATGGTCTTCAATGGCTTGTTGTGCAAAATCTTTAGCTAAAATTTTACTGTAAAGTTTATCTATTTCTTTAGAAAACTTGGATAGTTCTTTTTTGCTGGAATCTAAATTATATTTCTCAGCAAAAGACACAATAGCTCCAAAATTAGAAAGAAAGAAATATTTTTGAAGCAAAGATACCAGATCCAACTCATTTCGCACTTTCATGACATCTTCTTTACCCTCAGGCTGATTGAATGAGCGTCCCAATAAAAACGCTTTGAATTTATCCAGTAAATTAGCTTTGATAACCTCTTCGGCAAAATCGTTCAAAACAAAAGAGAATCGATCATTGATCTCTGAATATTCCTCCTTTAACCCATATGGTACAACATATACTATAATAATAATAAAAATAATGACATGTATGATAACATAAAAGTCTTACCAGGTTTGGTAGTGCCATCTACATGTAGTTTCCTGATTTCGTCAGCTAAATCCTTTTCTCCAATCTCTTCCAGTATATCTCCTAGTCTCAGCCATGTTGGTATTCCTTTCTCATCAACTCCATCCTTTTTCCTTAGCCAGAGAGATACACATTCCCTGAAACATCCTCCAACGTCTCCAGGATGATCAGCTTTAATGTCTGACAGTGTTGGATGATACAGACCAGCCTTCAGACCAAAGCTTCTCCACTTGCTTTTAGGAAAGAGACTTAACTTGGATAGTATAGTATCTAAATCCTTGATATTTAATGCAGCACCTAGAGCTAGAAGTCACATGTACATAGTACTGTAGCAATTTTAAACTTACCAAGTTGATGCTCACCAATGAGGGCCTCAGCCATTTAGACGTCTACATCTGTTTGAGTGTTACTCTAATATCTATGCTGTTTGTACTATCTAGTTGACACACCCCTCAAAACAAATCCCAATAATATTGCATACACAGCCAAGAGTTTGTGATTGATTCATTAATGATGTCAGTCCTGATCCGGCCTAATGAATCCTGAATCATGGATGTTGGGCAGCTAAATATGGCAATGAGCATAGCTGAATCTATCAGCCTTGATACAATCATGCTGGAATTCATACTGGTTCAGCCAGAGCAACATGCATGATTCAGCAATGATACCTGTCAGACTGTATCAATACTGTAATCAGGCTCAATTCATTGATTTTGGGCAGTGTCTTCTATCATACCTGTGAACTCTTGGCTGTGTACCTGTACATCAATAATTTTCTCAATGTTAATGAGAATAAAATCTCTCCTTTTATAACTTATACAATGCTACAAGCACCAAATTTTAGCACAACATAATGGCTGTCCCTTTATTTGGAGCAAATGCAATCTATCAAAGTTAGAACATGCATGATTCATAGTTGTTCAGACGTTATCCCCAACTAGTCAGGTGGAGCCTCAGGGTCAGGCCCCACCTGACTAACCCCCAACATATGTACATTTAAAGATTTAAACCCTCATACATGTACATGTATATTCAGAAAAACAGCATAAACTTTAAAGTTTGATGTTTCATTAAAATAAAATACATGTACTGAACATTGTCCTCTTTGTGATAAAATGAAACTACTGTTTATTCTTTAAAGTTTCTTGAAGCTAGTAATATATCAACATCATCAAGTGACAATACTTCAGGTATAGCATCTGGAGAACTCTGTCAAAATAATACATTATAATAAGCATAATATTTCTTTAATCCTCCAATCTTCACTATACATGTACAAGTACATGTATATTTACTTTAATTATTTTCTCAAATAAAGTATCTCCAATCATAACTTGTACTAATTCTCTAACTGATATCAGCTCATTCATTAGTGCCTGTTAAGATAACATGAAGTAAACATTTTACACATTACTCCACTCATGCATGTAACTAGAAGAATTTGTATATGTACATTGAGTAAGAAAAGGGCATTAATGTGTAAAAGATGTACATGTACATTATTACCTGTAGAGCAGCACAGCTCTGTCTCTGACTGTTAGAGTAGCCAGTATTACTGAGGGCATACAACAACTGATGGACCACATTAACCTACAGATCATCATCATTAATATAATATACATGTACATTTAATGTAGCACTGTATGTTAAATATTATAATACACAATCACTTTATTGACTGACCTCCACCAGTTTCTGTGCTAGGTGAGGGTGTCTCTCTATTATCTCCCTGTCATGTGACATTACAATAAGATCATGTGATACTAACTATTACTTTATTATTTTTGCAGAACTTTCCTGCTGGACCTGAGCAGTGACAATACCTAGGAAAGAGTAGTGTTAATAATTTAATTAATATTCATACTTCTTCCAGCCCCTCCTCCTTTAGATGTGACGTCTTCAACCTTCAACAGATTAACCAGCCCCATTAGCAATGGCTGCTGTATCTCCTCATCCTCCAATAGATCATTAATGAGTAGACCAGCTAGTGTACATGATACCGTAGGGCGCCGTTTTTTCGAGGGCTATGAATTTCGTGGATTTTTATTTCGTGAATTTAATTTTCGCGAATTTATGCCGTCTGCCATCTTGTACCGTATTGATTTGATTTTCGCGAAAGTAATTTTCGCGAATCTTTAAAAAAATCGCAAAATCCGCGAAATTTATAGCCCTCGAAAAAAAGGCGCCCTACGGTACATAATGAAGAAAAGGAAACGAGAAATAGAGCAAAGTTTATCTATTTATTTATTTATTTATTTTATACATTTATTTATTTATTTTATACATTAATTTATTTATTCATTTATTTATTTATTTATTTTATACATTACCTTCACGTTGAATATCAAGATGTAAGCTCCTCAGTAGCATTAGCAATGGGTCAACAATGGAGCCACTGACAACACCAATGGAAGGCTAAAAATTAGAATACTTGTACCTGTACAGTAGAGTAGAGTATCATTAACCTGTATTAGTCTCAGTGTGTAGGCTGAGAGTCTCTGAGCTTCAGAGGATGAAGAGGCCAGTAAAGCAATCAGTGCTTTATATACTTGTGTCTGGTACCTGGGATTAGCCTAAACAACAACAACAACAACAACAATAATAATAACAATAATAACAACAATAACAATAACAATGATAAACTAGGCAATACATGAGCTACATATACATATACATGTACATCATCCAGTGATACAGGCTTGCCACAAAGCATGCTAAGAGATAAGAGCTACAACAGTGCATGCATGGCTTTTGGAGCAACTTTTAAAATTCATAAAAAATCCAATTTTAATCGGAATCAGCTCAAACTTTCTATACAATGTAAGAACAAGTATATGTATTAGAAAAATTTATAAAAATAAAAAATTTTCTCCCAGTGATTTTTGACAAAATCTCCTGTACTATAGTACAGGAGATTTTGTCAAATTTTGAAATAATTCTTATTTGCAAGTCACTTACCATTGATAGTTCATGCAGGAGGTGCTGAGCACACTCTTGAGTTTCTGATAGTTGAGACCGTCCAAGACACTCGGCAGCAACTTTGATACCTAAAAATAAACAATAATAACAACAATAATAAATATAGTTGATCTCTCTCCCCTCTTTCTCACACCATAGCTTTCACATATCATTTCTTTAAAGTGTCTTCCCTTCTTTGATATTTGAGTTAATAAACGAAGAGCTTCTGATTTGTCTGCCTCTTCACACGACTTCAAGTTAACAATTTCAAGTGAAGTGAGGATACCACCCACTTCAAGGAACTCTGTCAAATAACTGAGAGAGAAAGAGAGAGGGGGAGAAGAACAATTTCTTTTTTCTTAAGCAACTCCTTAAAAATATAATTTTGATCAAAATCAGGTCTAAACTTTGTACATAATACATAATGGATCAACAAAGAGTTCTCTCCATTATTTTTTGCTGAAATAGGATACCATGCTATCGTGAATGTACACTGCATTGCTACATGTACTGATGTACTTGTCAGATGTGGCTTTACCTGGCTCCTATATTGATAAATACTCCAATACATTGCAACTGTATGCCAACACATGTGCCAAACATGTACCTGGAAAGAGAAATAAAATGAAAAGTAATTACATAATACTGTGTACATGTACATGTACCATAAGTACATTGTATCCGGGACTTTCAGCTATACTTAAGTACAATACAGTGAAGTATCTTACGTAATCCTAAGCCAGGCGGTGAGTCTAGCGAGGAAGAGGCTAGAGCAGTCATTAAAGTGTGCCTCTAGTTGAGGTTGAGTCATATCACTACAAGTATTGAGGAACTCCTCCAGCATTGCTTCTCTTTCTTGCACCGTTCCCTTTGATATGAGAGCATTAGGTATTCGTATTCACTGGCAATAGGTCTCTTACTTTGTCCCAGCATGAAAGAATGTGCCTTATCTCTTGGAAGCTACCAGGCGCCATTTTTTAATAGTTTAGTTGTCATGACGACCTTGCACAGCACGTGACTAGTTAATTGACACGTGTTTCCACGTGATCCCTCATACAAATCAATTTTTACAATTAAAGTGAGGTTTCTTAATAACAATGCAACACAATTACTGTAATAATAATAATACAACACAATTATTAGTAATGGTACAACATAACAGTACAACAATTATTGATAATTAATATAAAACTATGCATTAATTTTATATCTTGTTTTTGGTGTGCTTCCACTGTTTCAAATCCTTTTTGACTTCTTTTTCCTCTTCTTCTTTCCCTCATCCTCCTCCAGCAAAGGCATCTCACCAGTAGCAACATACACTGGGCTATACTTAACAGGTAGTTCTGTAGGGATGCCATCCTCACCTTCGAAACTATAAAAACCTCCAGCCTTAGCTCCAGCTTTCTTAGTACCACCCTGGCCCTCATCGCCAGTAAATACAACTTTCTTCTCTTTTTGTCTTGGAGGTGTGGCAGCAGTAGCTGCAGGACCATCATCTTCTGAAATTTTATAAAGTTTAGACCAATCTGCTGCCATTTTCTTTCCAATGGGCGTCTCATCTCCAAGCATGCCAGCATTCCTTGCCATAGCAGCTTCAATACTTGTTGAAGTCATCGACTTTTGTAGTTTTTTCTTTGGTTTCTGTTTGTCATCAAATTTCGGAGGTTGCGAAAGGAATCCTGGTTTTGCAAATGACCGCATAGAAGAAGGCGTAGACGAAGAAGATTTATCTAGTTCAGGTATGTCAGGTATGTCTTTCACAGACATGTCCGTCCTTGCTCTTAGCAGTTTCCCTCTCTTTTTCTTTGTCACTTCTCTGCTGAAATCAGTGTCTAGAGTTCGAGCATCAGGTACATCTTTTAAAGACATGTCTGTAGCTCTTTTTAGTAATCCCCCTTTCTTCTTTGGCTCCTCTTTCCTGAAATCTTTATCTAGAAATGAGTCATTGGAAGTGTCTTTAAAAGACAGAGCTGTCCTTGCTCTTTGTAACATTCCTTTCTTCTTTGTCTCATCCTTCTTGCTGAACTCAGCAGCACTCATTACTGCTAAAGTTTCTCCTTTCTTTAGCATTCTCCCCCCAGGCCCAACTCTCCTACCTGCTGCCTTCTGTGAGGCCTCATCATCTAAAATGAAAGAAGAGTCTCTCTTTACGAGCTGTCTACGTTGATGGATGTGTTGAACAGTTCTTTTAGTAGTGGCTCCAGCCTCTTCTCCCATCATTCCTAGCAGTGTTGGATTGCTGCTACTTCTCTTCAAAGCTTTAGGCCCACCACTGCCAGTCATATAGGTAGGACTAATGACCTGGGTTGGTCCTGCACCAGGTAACCCTTGTTGAGAAACTGGGGGTGCCCCCATACCAGCCATTATCATCAACTGCTGGGAACTACTTCTCTTCATTAGTTTCTTCTTTCTCTCCTTTTCCTTTTTCTCTCTCTCCAGCTCTTTCTTCAGCTCTCTCTCCTCCATTTCCCTACGTCTCTCCTCTTCATGATCAATCACATGGACTTTAAATGGACTGCCGGGGACGTCAAAGTCATCCCATTTAATTGTGACCTCATAGTCACCGCCTTCTCTTGGGAAATATGTTCCTTTCAATCGACGAGGAGCATCAGGGTCAATAGGTGCCACATCAACTTTAAAAGCATCTTTGACTCCATGCAATACAACTGTGAGCGTACCAATACCTACATTATAATGAAGAAAATTAATAATAAATTATTATACAGTTGCACATCAATTAAAAAAATTAATACATGTATAGTAAAATGTCATAATTCCTTAAAATATTTTTCTGTAGTAACTGGAAAGCTATTAATTGTTGCAGTGCTTGCACAGTTTTAATTCATTGTGCAATTATTAATATCTAGACTACATTAGAGTATAAGCTTATTATATCAACAGTACATGAGCTAGGGTATAACTCTTACCTGCATCATCAGTCTCAATGAAGAACTCAGCCTCTTTCCTTGCTTCAATCTGAGGCGAGAGTCCAGGACCATAAGCTCTCACTTTAGTATAATCCGGTTCAGTCCGGACCTTAATGTCAATGGGAGAGAGTGGAATGTGGACCTGCCCCCACCAGATATTGATCCTGTGCCAGCCAGAGAGTTTAGTTTCTATCTTTAAGGAGTAGATACCATCATTGTCATCAGCTATAAAGATCTTTGGGCTTGTTTTCTTTGGTCCTTGAACAACTGCCTGGAGCTCCCCATATCCAGCGTTCTTCGTATCAACAAAGAGTTCAAGAGGTCGTCCACGGAAATGGAGTGCATTTGGATGCATGGCTGGTCCATAAACACGGCATTTGGATGCGTCAGGAGCAGGGAAGGCTGTGACTTTGAAGTCACAGCCTGGGATTGGTTTACCATAAAACTTGACAGTAATGAGGTACTCCCCCTCAACAGGAACAGTATAGGTAACGCCATAAGTCTTGTTATTCAAATCCTCAATTTTGGACTCAACCCTCAGTGTCTTATCGGCACTGACAATATCAACAGTCAGTGAGTCAGAGCGCTTAGCTAGGAGGCCAGTCTCTGGTGTGATGATACCAAATCTAGCTGGTCTACCAGTCATTGCTTTCTCCAGCCCTGGACCTTTGGCTGAGCAGAGATTAGGATCTGCTATTGTAGCTATTGGTTTATGAAAAGGACTCCCTGGGGTGATAAAACCAGCTAGAGTGGTGACTACTTCGATAGGACCAGGTTCTGTTGGTGTGAAGCTGAAGGTGTAAGTACCGTCCCTGTTGTCTCTTGCTTCTGGTGAGTACTCTAGTATCGGACCTTTAGCTGTAACGAGAGGTTTTTCATCCCCTGCTCCAGTTGCATTAAGAGTAAAGGTAATAGGCTCGTTAACAAAAGACTCTGAATCATCCCAATCAACCATTGTGACTTTAGTGGGATCAACTATCACCAAGTCAAAGGCTGATACCTCCCTCTCTGCTACGTTGATTTGACCTTTGACCTGTCCCAATTTTAACGGAGTCACAGTTAGTGTGTAAGCCCCTGCTTTGTTTTGTTTGACAGTTTTAGCAGCAATAACATCATCATCATCATCATCATCACCCAATGCATTGCTGATACTAAACTCAACTTCAGGATTACCAATACTGGGACCTTTCAGCTCTATATCTAACTTCTTTCCCAATTGAAGATGCTTTGGCACATCAGTAATAACTTTCCACTCTGCAGTATCCAGTACAGGTACTGTAAAGGGATTACCAGGGACTGGGGCACCTCCCATTAACACCTCTAGTGCATGCTCACCTGAGTCAGTAGGTACAAAGGTCACTCTGTATTTGTTGTCAAATTTCTTGGCTCTTTTCTCTCCTTTTTTCTTTTCTTTATTCTTCCCTCTGTTTCCTTGAAATGGCCTCTCCTTTTTTTTCATTCTCTTTTTAGCTCCAACATCTGACTCTAAACCTTCTCCATCCTCAATTATTATCTCTTCAATATCAGCTCTTTCATCATCACTACGGTCACTACCATTTCCCAAATCTTTCATTTCTTTCCTTTCGTCATCTATCCCTTCTTCTCCATCTATCCCTTCATCTCCTTCATTTCTTTCTTCTCCAGTTCTGCTGCTGCTATCTTCATCTTCAGCATCATCAACATTAGTATAACCTATGCCATCTTCTTCTCCTTCCTCTTCAGCATGATCTCCCTCTCTTTCACTTTTGTACCCTTTTCTTTCTCCTTCTCCTTTCTCTTCCTCTTCACCCCCTTTGCCTTCCTCGCCTACGTCATCTCCTTTTCTCTTTCCTTCCTTTTTTTCTTCTTCTTTTTCTCCTTCTTCTACTTCATTTTCTTCTTCTAATTCCTCCTTCTCCTCCTCCTTTTCTAATTCCTCTTCTTCTTCTGATTCCTCTTCTTCTTCCTCCACTTCTACTACTTCCAGTATTTTAGTATCTCCATTAGGTAGAGTTACTCTTGCCTCTGGCTTCACATCACTTGCATAAACACTGAAAGAGACTGGTTTTCCAGTCAGCACAACCCCATCAATCCCAGACACTTTGCATTTATCAGGATCACAGACAAAGACGGTGAATGGTGTTTTCTTTATATCCTTACCAGCTACAGTTATGCTCACATCAGTTCTACCAGTAGCTGTTGGTAGCAGAGTAATGGCTGCAGTGTCTGGGTCTTCTATTAGTATGGAGTCTGTTACAGAGGCAGAAGGGAAGCCATCAGGATTAGTGACATCAACATCAATAAAAGGAGAGCTTCCATAAGCTCTACCCTTCACCACAATCTCATGTGGTTTGTTAACATGGAGGTATTGAGGAGGGTCTTCAGTCATTGTCCATTCTGATGGATCAATGACAATAACTTGCAATGGACTCTTGTTTATTTCTTCATCGTTGAGGTGACAGGAGACAGTGTAGGGACCTGCTTCAAGGGGAATGAACTTTGCCTTAGCTTTGTGTGTTCCTTCAAGAGTAACAACAGCCTCAGCTGTGGGACCTGTTATGAGAGATTAACATGTAGTGACATCTGTTATGAGTTTTACTTTTAATTTTCTATTTCGATATGTACATTGTATGTGAGCCATTTTTTGAAAAACCATAGGCATTAATTTTATCAAAATTATGGCATTTTTAAAATTGACCATAACTTGGAAAATTGAAGTCGGAATCAGCTTAAACTTTCTACACAGCATAAGAACATCAATATGTATCAGAAAATGTAATAAAAATTAGGGGTGATTTTGGAGCCATTTTTTGGAAAAAACCATGGACTATAGCCTTGGGTATTTTTCAGAATTTCGGCATTTTTAAAAATTGGCTGTAATTTGGAAAATTGAAGTCGGAATCAACTCAAACTTTCTACACAGCATAAGGGCATCAATATGTATCAGAAAATGTAATAAAATTTGTGGTGATTTCGGAGCCATTTTTTTGAAAAAAACCATGGGCTATAGCCTTGGGTATTTTTCAGAATTTCGGCATTTTCTTAAAATGGCCGTAACTTGAAAAGTTGAAGTCGGAATCAGCTCAAACTTTCTACACAACATAAGTACATCAATATGTATCAGAAAATGTAATAAAAATTTGGGGTGGTTTCGGAGCCATTTTTTGAAAAAAACTATGGGCTATAGCCTTGGGTATTTTTCAGAATTTCGGCAATTTCTTAAAATGGCTGTAACTTGAAAAGTTGAAGTCGGAATCAGCTCAAACTTTCTACACAGCATAAGTACATCAATATGTATCAGAAAATGTAATAAAAATTTGCAGTGGTTTCAGAGCCATTTTTTGAAAAAACCATGGGCTATAATTTTTCAGAATTTCAGCATTTTAAAAAATTGGCCGTAATTTGGAAAATTAAAGTCGGAATCGACTCAAACTTTCTACACAGCATAAGAACATCAATATGTATCAGAAAATGTAATAAAAATTTGGGGTGATTTCGGAGCCATTTTTTGAAAAAACCATGGGCTATAGCCTTGGGTATTTTTCAGGATTTCGGCATTTTCTTAAAATGGCCGTAACTTGAAAAATTGAAGTCGGAATCAGCTCAAACTTTCTACACAGCATAAGTACATCAATATGTATCAGAAAATGTAATAAAATTTGTGGTGATTTCGGAGCCATTTTTTGAAAAAAATCATGGGCTATAGCCTTGGGTATTTTTCAGAATTTCGGCATTTTCTTAAAATGGCTGTAACTTGAAAAGTTTAAGTCGGAATCAGCTCAAATTTTCTACACAGCATAAGTACATCAATATGTATCAGAAATTGTAATAAAAATTTGTGGTGATTTAGGAGCCATTTTTTGAAAAATTTCAGCATTTAAAAAAATTGGCCGTAATTTGGAAAATTGAAGTCGGAATCGACTCAAACTTTCTACACAGCATAAGGGCATCAATATGTATCAGAAAATGTAATAAAATTTGTGGTGATTTCGGAGCCATTTTTTGAAAAAAATCATGGGCTATAGCCTTGGGTATTTTTCAGAATTTCGGCATTTTCTTAAAATGGCTGTAACTTGAAAAGTTTAAGTCGGAATTAGCTCAAATTTTCTACACAGCATAAGTACATCAATATGTATCAGAAATTGTAATAAAAATTTGTGGTGATTTAGGAGCCATTTTTTGAAAAATTTCAGCATTTAAAAAAATTGGCCGTAATTTGGAAAATTGAAGTCGGAATCGACTCAAACTTTCTACACAGCATAAGGGCATCAATATGTATCAGAAAATGTAATAAAAATTTGGGGTGATTTCGGAGCCATTATAATTTTACCTGCTGCCTTCAAAGCCAACTGTCCAATGACCAGTTCAGGACTAGCCCCGAGATCAATTGGTATCTCAATCTGCTCCTTAAGAACCCCAACTCCAGTCTCAGTAAAATCAGGCTCACCCATTGTGAGCTCATCGGCTGCAGTCTGCAACTTGGAGTACTTAAAACGACTCAAATAAGTAGCAACAATAATCTCGTCCACCTTAGGATCGGAGAGTTCATCTGGACCAACAGGACAGACTATGTCTAGTCGACTCCTGGCAAGCTTAATGCAGGTATCAAGATTATCTTTAGCCTTGTGTGGGTCGAGGTCCTTCCATGATGGAATAAGGCCGGGGTGACAAGCCTCCATTAGCGCTGCTAGATTAATACCGTTGTTCCAGTCAGTGGAGAGGTTTGTTATACCTTGTTGAGGTATTATTGCTTGTATCCAGGAGAGGAGTATCTCGCTGGCGGGAACAAAAAAATAAGAGACGTAAGTCATGACGCTTAAATCATCAACGTCAGGATTATTGAGATCTTCTGGGTCTAGGATCTTTGGTATTTCAAAATTATCCTCAGCAAGCGTCATACCAAGTTGACAGTTTTCCAGACCATTTTTAGGACTCAGGGAGGCGTGGTTCGGACAGAGGCCGGGCTTCAAGCGATCGACTAGCCCACAAACTGCTCGTCCATCGTTCCAATCGGTAGTGAAGTTCTGAATATTGTAGTCAGGGATCTGAGTGTGGAGCCACTCCTTCATGGCTTGCTTGGTAGAGAGACCACGCCCACTGGAGCGTATCTGGAAGTGACCAATAAGAGTCCATATCAGGCCAAGAATGAGCTTCAAATTGCAGCCGTAGATATCCTCAGGACCTGAAAAAAATATTACTTTATAATAATTGTCATATTTTCCACCACAAAAATAAACCGGTATACAGTATCTTAGTTTTATTTTTGGCATATTCAATGATGGCTCAATGATGCATGCATGGTTGAAATCAACACCAAACTGATATATAAACAGCCCAGTCAATATTATCTGGCTGTATGGTAACCTCCAAACTAAATTGCGACCCAAAGAGCAAAATAAAATACAACAGTAAGTTTATATTGTGCAATAAAGAATTGATCCATTAAATATATCTCTCACCTATATTTACAAGTTTGATGTTTTCAGCTTTGATAAACTTAAATACAAGAGACAGATTCTCCATACACTGTATCTTTGAAACCGGTTTCTTATTGTACTTGCCCACTTTGCGAGGCTTTGCTAAGTTCTCCAGGAGCAAAATGAGCAACAGCCCGTCCGTCAGGTCGTGCTGTAAGTCATTCACTGAATGCTTGGCGACCTTGAGATTCCCTCTGAGGCGGTCGTTGAACCAATTGGTGAAGACCTTCTTCAGTATCTGCGCATCCTTATTCTTGGCAGCCATGACTCGCTCTCTGTAGACTAGGAAAAGACGCAGTGAGATCTGCGTGAAGATGAAAGGTTAGCTGTAGTTGCACCGAGAGATGAATATCAGTAGTCTGCCAGCCACACCTAAACTTATATCTTGAAGTAACTTATTCATTGTTCCTTCAAGTAGTAGATTAGATACTTCCTTTAGAACCAAAACCTTAGCTTTACCTTCATCCATAATTATAAAGAGAAGATGAGAAAGGCTAAAAGAAAGGACAACTTCTCACTCCATTTTAATGCATGTACCCAGAAGGGTGTGGCTAAAGCTAATGTGAATTTATTTATTATTTTTTCCCTTCACATTTTCAATGTACAACATGTCCAAAAAAATTAATAATAATAACAAATAATAATAATAATAATAATAACAAATAATAATAATAATAATAACAAATAATAATAATAATAATAATAATAAATTACTTGTACATAATTCAAAAGAGAGAGAGAGATAATTACGATACGTCCACACACATACAATTAAAATAGTGAGATATCCTACAACTAAAAGATGTTCTAAAATAAGAAATAAGACAAAGCGAAGCAAGGCATGTTTTAAATATCACTGAGAAAAGACAAACAAAATGAAGACGACAAAAAGGCAGCAGAAAAGGATGAGAAAAAGACTAGGATATACTAGGATATACTAGAATATACTAGTTTCCTTTCTGGCAGCACTTCATTTTCGATCCAGACTTCTCGTCTTTCTGGTCGTCAATTTTGATGACTTTAGTTTCGCTGACGGAACCACCTCCTCCTTGACCTCCATCAGCTGGAGCCTTCTGGATAACAATGTTATAGATCTCTGAGAGGGAGGGAGAGAGAGGGAAGAGAGAGACAGAGAGAGAGGGAGAGAGAGAGTAGAGAGAGAGAGAGAGAGAGAGGGAAGAGAGAGACAGAGGGAGAGGGAGAGAGAGAGAGGAGAAAGAGAGAGGAGAGAGAGAGGGAAATAGAGACAGAGAGAGAGAGAGAAAAGGATACTTGTTGAAACCTTACAACTGTTACGATTAGTCATAAACACAAAATGCACACAGTACATGTACAGTACAGATAATATACAGATAATATACAGATAATATACAGATAATATACAGATAATATACAGATAATATACAGTACCTGTCAGAATGTTCTGGAAGGCAGCCTCTACATTAGTGGAATCAAGTGCTGAAGTCTCAATGAATGACAAACTGTGTTGCTCTGAGAGAGAAAAAGATATTATAATATGATAAAAGTGATTTCAGTAGTATAACAGTGGTATGGGTCTTTCTATACAGTATTTTATATAATCTATTCCCCCAGTCTATAGTTAGGAATGTACATGTACATGCAATATTATGAGTTAAATCATAAAGTGACTAGGAGGAAATGGTCTACATTATGATTGCTATAAATATTATGAATATTGTGTGTGATATGCATGGACAATCACATCAAATGACTCCTTAGCTTCACTTTCATTGTTAACACGTAGTTAACATACAATAATAATGATGCATATAAACAATCAGTAATTATAATAAAATTAATGACAATTCTGTGTGTGTGGGAGGGGTACAAGTACAATCTGACTTTGAGCCAAATTAATTAAATGTACACATACATGTACATGTACCTGCAAATTTCTTGGCTTCTTCAGTGGAGACTGCTCTAAGATGCCTGAGGTCGCACTTATTGCCGGCCAACATAATGACAATGTTGGTATCAGCATGATCCTTCAGTTCCTTCAGCCATCGCTCCACGTTCTCGTAAGTCATGTGTTTAGCAATATCATACACTACCAGAGCACCAACAGCACCTCTGTAGTAACTGGAGAGAGAGAGAGAGGGAGAGGGGGAGAGAGAGAGAGGGAGAGAGAGGGGGGGAGAGAGAGAGGGAGGAGAAAAGAAGAGAGAGAGAGAAGAGAGAGAGAGAAAAAACACAAGACAAGAAGAAGAATTATCAATAAAACATAAATAAACACTTCAAACAGAAAAAGGAAGGAATGAGAGAGTATGTGAATAAAGGAATGTATAGGTGAACATGTTGTTATTATTATTTAATTTGTTATTATTATACTTACGCGCTGGTTATAGCTCTGTATCTCTCCTGACCAGCTGTTTGGAAAAAAGAAAAATAATAACTATTAATAACTATTGATAACTATTAATAATTGGTCATTAATCATCATTATCACTACTGACACTGACAATTAACATTTCCATATTTGGTATATGTATCATAGGAAAACAACCCCACAAGTATTGAGAGGGTATTGAGAGAGCACAACAAGTTTTGAGACTCAGAACTTTCAAACTCATTCATTCTGCTATTGCATAAGTACACGTACATACTGATGCTTCACATTTCCATTCCTAAGTTTCCATTCCAGTACCAACACAACAATCAATGAACAGACACACACACAATTCAAAATTACAAACAGCCATTACTCATATCAACACATGTACATGTGCATGTATAATGTATACTTATCACAAAAAATACACAAAGACAACTTTTGGTATGTTTACAAGATAGTTTGTTATCGCTCTTCTTTCTCTCCTTCCTCCCTCTCTCTCGCCCTCCTCCTTCTCCCCCCCTCTCTCTCTCCCTCTCCCTCCCTCTCTCTCTTCCTCTCTCTCTTCCTCCCCCCCTCTCTCTCTCTTCTTCCCCCCCTCTCCCTCCCTCTCTCTCTCTCTCTTACCAGTATCCCATATTTGAGCCTTGACTACCTTCCCGTCCACTTTAATGCTCCTAGTGGCAAACTCAACTCCGATTGTTGATTTACTTTCTAAGTTAAACTCATTACGAGTGAAACGAGAAAGAAGGTTTGATTTGCCTACACCGGAATCTCCGATGAGGACGACTTTAAATAAAAAGTCATATTCTTCTTCTTTGCTGGTCATAATTACAGATCACTGTAGGGAAGAGAGGGAAGGGAGAGAGAGGGGGAGAGGGAGAGAGAGGTAGAGAGAGACAGAAAGGGAGGAAGAGAGAAAGATCAAAGTAACTAATTAATTCCTACTAGTATCAAACCATTCAACTATTAAGGATTGCATGGAAGTAAGATACACAAAATAAAAATGACAATAATAATAATAATAATAATAATAATGACTTTACAGTAAATGTGGGTTTATTTCTACTCATCAAAAGTGGGCCACGCCCATTTATGACTTTATCCAAATATTTGATGCAACAAATACAAATCGTACAAAAATTAAAAAACAATCTAACGTGCCAAATAAACCAAAAATTAATACAAACCAACGACAAAAAAATACATTTGAAAACATGTACTGCGTGTGTACATGTACATGTACATACAAAATACTTGAAAGTCAGTGAATGCTATATATATATATATATAATTCATTGGGTTTCACTCTACACCAATAAATGCCAGAATACCTCCCTAATGGATGCGTATATACACAAATACCTTTAAAAGTGACACGTAGACACATAAAGACATACCAGAGTACATGTACTAGGGGCAAAGTCGAGTTAATAAGCATAAGACTTGCCTTTTAGTTCCTAGCCGTTACAAGAGTCCCTAAAGATTGCCGATACGTGTTCTCCCTCTCGCTTCTTCCTCTTTTCTCTTTCTTTTGACCTAAAAAGACCAGAATCAACCCCCCGAAGATAAGAGAAGGCCACTTAGGTTATTAATAGTTAAGTAAAATTAGTTAGTTAACATTAATAAAAATGAACGTCATAACTTTTTCAATATGACGTCAGTGATTATGAATTTTAGTTAGTTAACTATTATTAAAATCTGTTATTATAACTACTTAATTACTTTTTTATTAATAATTTTTTGTATCAATTCTCCATTGCCAGGTAGCTTTATAGATAAAGGAAAGCCTGAAGGTTAGTCCGTTTCTCTTCCTTTTTGCTAATTTATGCCAGGGGCAGGTTGCCTGATAGAACAACATGCTCCTCTGTCTCTGTCTCTCTCTTCTCTCCGTCTCTCTCTCCCACGGTAAGCTTGAACATAAGAAAAGTTTTGTTATTTTTCCCTATCAGCCAAGCGAGCAAACTACATTTCACGACACCTGCTTCTGCTCGTGCTTGTGTGTTTTTCATTCCTTAAAGCCACTCCATTAGTTTATACTCTAGGCAATAGGAAGATTTTATTAAAAGTGCCAATAAAAGCACATGTACGTTTTTAATTTAAAATGTACATGAATCAATTTGTACATGTACTTATACTTTATAGATGTTCTTGTTTCTGTCTGCTGTGTAGTGGCTATCATGTCTATATGCCCTGTGGCTATTAGTTTACTCAATGGGCTTATTTTATTTCATATACAATTTCTTTATTGCATTCATTAACCTTTTTATTTCCATTGTTACTTTTCTCTCTCTCTCTCTCTCAGGATTGAATGATGACCATCCTCTATACCCATTCCTCAATCATTATGAACACATTGATTATGATGAACACGATCTACTGCATCATCACTATCGTGTCCAGCGGTCAATGTACGGGCCTAGAGAAATTGAACTAAAATTCACAGCATTTGACAGGTAATCAACCAATCACTAATACACACATTCATGTGAACTATTAATTCTGTACATGTACATGAAGATACTGTAGCACCTCAGAGTGTTTGTTGTCTGTGTTGGCAATGATGGCTATGTGTGTCTTTGAGAGATTCTGTTTGACATATTTGAAATTGTAGCTACATGTTGTTATGGATATTATTTAAATTCATTAATAGTTAATCCAGACAGAGAGAGAAAGAAAGAGAGAGAGAAAGAAAGAAAGAAAGTGTGTTAACTTGCAGATTGGTACACATACAGTACATAATAAATACAAGTATTTTGTTACTAAGATACATTTACATGTACACCATACACATAGCTACAAGAGGCTACTATCATCATCATGTATTGAGTGTATCTAATGAGGTATGATGAGGATGTCCTTATTTGTACAGTATTGATTGATGGAAATATTTCCTCATGTGACACAGTCCATGTCAGCCCTGGCATGATCATGTATCCTCCTTTCAATCCATCATAGATAATGATGTCCATTCTATTTATAGGCACCAATTCTATTTATAGCTTAGGCTGTATGCCAGTGTATAAAACAGATCATTGTACTGAAAATTTTTGTATTTACTGTAAATAGTGTTGATTCTATTTATAGATATGACCATTCTCTTTATAGTATCCATGATATTGTGTATATTCCAAATTGTGTGACATACTGTACAAGAATGAAGTAATTAATGGTATAATGGTGGTGGTGAGGTTTATAGCTGCTTTAGTTTAGAGTCGTGTTTGTATAAACTGTATAGCTTCCATAATGATAATATCATCTTGTTATGAATTATTATACACATGCATACACTAATGCATTGAGGGCCTTCTGTGTATTAAGAGATGTAGAAAGCACTCTATCGTGTAGATGTACAATATTTAGTCTATCATCTATTAATTTATTTATTTATTATTATTATTATTATTATTATTATTATTATTATTAGATTGTTTGATATTCGTCTCTATCCTGATGATTCTTACATACACAAGGATGTGAAGATTAAACTAAACTCTGTTCCTTATAAAGGCCACACCTCCTTTAGGTCGCTACTGTATTCAGGATATGACATCAGTAAATGACATACAAATATCGACATGTACATCTCCCTCCCTCCCTCCCTCCCTCCCTCTCTCTCTTTTAGATGATCCTTCTACCCAAGTCACTGGTCATTTAGCGTTTGATACTTTTGACGGTGCCATTTATACAAACGATGAGATATACTTCATTGAACCAAGCACAAGGTGACATTATCATTTAATTAAATAAACCACACCAGCTGGGAATTTGTAATTCAATTTTATTATTATTAATCATTATTAATACCCTATACTGTATGAACATGTACATGTACTTTTCTTTCTCTCTTTTGTTTAGATATTTTCCTAATTCTGATTCTCCTACTCATTCTATAATATATCGTCACTCTGATCTCAATGCAACGCTGCTCAATATTCATGGGCGGACTCCTTGTGGAGCTACAACCTTCTCCCAGCAAAGAAACCTTTACTCAATACAAGTATAGTTCATCATTAATTATTATCATTAGTTTAATATTGAATTTTGTTCACACGTTCATTAATGATAATAATAATAATAATAACCAGTAATAATAATGTTAATGATGATTGTCCAATATTGGGTCTTTTTTATTGCAAGCCACCAAATTAAAAGTTGCTATTTCTCTCTTTACTCCTATTATTACTCCCTCCCTCCCTCCCTCTCTCTCTCTCCCTCTTCCTTCCTCCCTCCCTCTCTCTCCAGGATGCTGGTCCATCAGATCATATTAATCTCCATACTCGGCAGAGCGGTGCTCGTAACACTAGTCTTGTCCGCTGCACTCTCCGTGTTGAAGCTGATTACAAGTTTGTGACTAACGTAGCCTCAGGATCTGATGATACGACCAGAATGAACAGCGCCATAGCTGTACTTAGGAATCTCATCACCACGGTAATGAACTGCCACGCCCCTCAATTAATATCAATAGAATATTACTGTCGGAAATATTAACATGTACATGCTATTTTGGCCGTTAATTGTTTTGTAAAGAAACTTCCAAGTTTAAAATCCACCATTTTGTTTGAATACATGTAGCTTTGAAATCACTGCATGAAAAAATTAATTTGATTTTAAAGCAAAATCCATGAATCAGTGTTTCCCCATTACATGTATACATACTATGCTACATTGTACAGTGTATTATCTGTTATTATTATTGTTTTGTTATTTCAGGGAAGTATTATATTTCAAAACACTGATTTCAATATGGATGCGGCTGGTGCCCGTGACAATATCCATTTCCTTGTCCTCGAGTTTGACATTAACACTCAGCCTCCGCCCAGCGGTTCATTCCAAGCCAACGAGTTCATTGGAGTTGAAGCTTTCCTTAACTCTTACTCTGAGGCTGATTTCACTGCTTTCTGTCTCTCGTATCTCTTTACTTATCGTGACTTTGATGGAGGAGTTCTTGGACTTGCTTTCGTTGGGAACAGTAATAATCAATTTGGTTAGTTTTAGCATTGTTGTTGTTGTTGTTGTTTTTGTTGTTGTTGTGTTGTTGTTGTTGTTGTTGTTGTTGTTGTTGTTGTTGTTGTTGTGTTGTTGTTGTGTTGTTGTTGTGTTGTTGTTGTTTGTTAATTGGAATGCATGTATTTACATGTAGCTATTTTTTGAACCTGTTAATTTTTTATTGACTGTCATACATGATGTGTATAGTTATAACGCATGTACTGTATGTGCATTCTCCTCCCTCCCTCTCCCCCCT